TAAATGCAGACCCTTCATTCATTCCTCTTGGCCTGGGCAATACTTTCTTCCTCTTTTCCTTAGATCCTTGTCATGTTGATAGTTCATATTGTGCCCTGGGGACGGGGAACTGAGAGGCAGAAGAGAACAGATGCATCACACACTGAAGGTGAGGCACCCATAGTTCAATGCAGTTTCCTTTTTTTCCAATGCAAATTACTTCCCTCTCCAGCATTCTCCAAATCAGGAACCAGCATATAGCCATAGCAGCATGATCACTGACATCTCAATGGGTAAGGACATTGCGTAGCCATCACCGTCTTTTCTTGTGGTCTTAATTTTGTCGAGGTAAATAAATGGAGACAGAGGATAATCTATTTTTTAAAAACTGTTACAGGTATTTGTTTTGCAATTTCTTTCAAACAAAATATCTCCTTTGGTTGAAACTCCTTTGGCTCAAGGAACATCGTGCTCGTGGCAGCCGCACGGGGCTGCAGATGGTGTGTGTGCACCCAGGGCTGGGAGCAGGGGTGTAGGGTTTCCCTGTTCCCTTAGCCCAGATCCCGGAAGAGCTGAGCATCTAAAATGCTGAAGTCCACACCTGCACTCTGGCTCAGGGCCAGCTATCTCCAGTGCACCAGTTACCTCCTTGATGGACCTTTGGCACCAAGGCTTAGGCTGTCAACTCGTGCTCTGAGGTGCACTGGCTTTGTGTCTGTCACCCAAGGCTGGCTGAGGGCTCCATGCTTCCCCATCAGTCTGGCACCCATTCCCAGAGCACGGCTTCCTGACAGCCTGGGTGGCTCACGAATTGCAGCTGTGGGAAGAAGGGGTGGACAGTGTCCAGCTTCCTCATGTCACTCTCTGCTTAGAGCACTCGCGAGCAGGTACTGGAGAACCGGGACTGCGAGCCCTAACCCCCATTTCCCGCTGCCGGCGAGGTGGCACACAGACCCGTCTGCGTCTCCTTTCAAAGCCCTCTCTCCACGCTGTACCCCCAACACCCCAAATTCCCGGGAGTAGAGGCAATGCCACCTTGCAATGGGACCTCAGCGTCCCAAGGACGCCTTGCTCGGGGGGGTCGTCCCACAGCGCCCCAGCGCGGTTTCACCCCCCGCGAGGAAACCGGGCACTTCCCTGGCCCCGGG